CAACATGTCCAAAGTAGGTGAGACCAAGTCTGGCCATTCTCACTTCCAAGGAGCATTCCGGCTGCACTTCCTCCAGGACAGATCTTAGTTCATGCACTTGAAGTTTTCCTTTTCATTGTGTAGTGAAATTATAGGCAATTGGTAAAGTGTTTCCTAGAAAGTCATTTTGTCTTTTCAATTACTCCCCATCGCCCAAAGAAACAATTTATTTCATCTTTGATCTCACTGTGGGCCCTCCTTCATTAACATGTAATGATAATGAGGATCGTTGACTCATATACAGGAGGCCTTCTTCATGTTAAAAAAAAAAAAGCACACTCACTCCCATCAAGTCAATTCCAACTCATAGTGACTCCCTTTGGGTTTCCAAGGTGGTAAATCTTTACAGAAGTAGATTGCCCAGTCTTCCTTCTGCAGAGTGGCTGTTGATTTATTTCATAGTTGTTTTTATCTAAAGCACTCCCTGTAACATAAAAGGCAGTAATAATAGTATTCCTTATATTTTCACTAAAGACCCAGAAGTTTGTCAAGTGGCGCAGCGGTTAAGCACGTGGCTGCTAACCAGAAGGTTGGAGGTTCAAAGCTACCAGGTGCTCCTCGGGAGAAAGATAAGGCAGTCTGCTTCTGTGAAGAGTGACAGCCTTGGAAAACTCATGGGGCAGTTCCACTCTGTCCTCTAGGGGCGCTGTGGGTCACAATCGACTCCACGGCAGTGGGTGTGGTTTGGGCTTTGCTTCTGTAAAGATAACAGCCTTGGAAACCCTGTGGTGCAGTTCCACTCTGTCCTCTGGGGGCGCTATGAGTCAGAATAGACTCCACGGCAGTGGGTGTGGTTTGGGCTTTGCTTCTGTAAAGAGTGACAGCCTTGGAAAACTCATGGGGCAGTTCCACTCTGTCCTCTAGGGGCGCTGTGAGTCAGAATCGACTCTATGGCAGTGGGTGTGGATTGGACTTTGCTTCTGTGAAGACTGACAGACAGCATTGGAAACCCTGTGGTGCAGTTCCACTCTGTCCTTTAGGGGCCCTGTGAGTCAGAATAGACTCCACGGCAGTGGGTGTGGTTTGGGCTTTGCTTCTGTGAAGACTGACAGCCTTGGAAACCCTGTGGGGCAGTTCCACTCTGTCCTCTAGGGGTGCTGTGGGTCAGAATGGACTCCACGCAGTGGGTGTGGTTTGGGCTTTGCTTCTGTGAAGACTGACAGCCTTGGAAACCCTGTGGGGCAGTTTTACCCATAGGGTCACTATAAGTTGAAATTGACTCGACATTAGTGGGTCATGGGTTAGCACCATAACTACTAACCTTTGCTGCCTCTTTGGCAAACCAATGAAAAGTTGGACTTTCATAAAAGGCACATTTGGGACAGTGATTTGAAGCTAATTTCTCTTACTGGCTAAGTGTTCTACTCTGATTTGTGACTGTGGCTGAAATTTGGCTTAGTTCTCTGCTAGTGTCTCAGACGATACACTGCATTGGGCAAATCTGCTGCAAAAGACTTCTTTAAACTGTTAAAGAGCAAAGATGTTACTTTGAGGACTAAGGTGCACCTAACCCAAGCCGTGGTATTTTCAATTGCCTCATATGCATGTGAAAGCTGGACAATAAATAAGGAAGACTGAGAAAGAGTTGGTGTCTTGAGTTGTGGTGTTGGTGAAGAATACTGAAAGTACCATGGGCCGCCAGGAGAGTGAACAAATCTGTCTTGGAAAAAGAGCAGCCGGAGTGCTTCTTAGTAGCGAGGATGCCAAGACTTCATCTCACCTACTTTGGACATTTTATCAGGAGTGACCAGTCGTGGAGGATATGATGCTCAGTGAAGTAGAGGGTCAGTGAAAAAGGGAAGACCGTCAATGACATGGACAGACACAGTGGCTACAATGATGGGCTCAGCTATAGCAGTGACTGTGAGGTTGGTGCAGGACCGGGCAGTGTTTCCTTCTGATGTATGTGGGGTCACTATGAGTCGGAACCAACTCAATGACATCTAACAGCAGTGTCTGGAGCATCACTGTTTCTCTTCATGTTCGTGCACCTAAGTTGGCAGACAGTTACCCTTTACAGTATGTCTGAGAATGTTCTCAGTACAGTTTTAATCATATTTTAGGTTTTTTCTGTTATCTGTCTGCATATAGGAACTCTGGTGGCGTAGTGCCTAAAGCACTTGGCTGCTAACCAAAAGGCTGGTGGTTCAAACCCACCAGCCACTCTTCCAAAGGAAGGCTGGGCAATCTACTTCCCGTAGTGATACCGCCTCGGAAACCCAAGGAAGGGTCTCTATGAATCAAGTCAAGTCAATGGCAGTGGGTGTGGTTTGGGCTTTGCTTCGGTGAAGACTGACAGCCTTGGAAACCTGTGGGCAGTTCCACTCTGTCCTCTAGGGGCGCTGTGAGTCAGAATAGACTCCAGGCGGTGGGTGTGGTTTGGGCTTTGCTTCTGTGAAGACTGACAGCCTTGGAAACCTGTGGGCAGTTCCACTCTGTCCTCTAGGGGCGCTGTGAGTCAGAATAGACTCCAGGCAGTGGGTGTGGTTTGGGCTTTGCTTCTGTGAAGATTGACAGCCTTGGAAACCCTGTGGGGCAGTTCCACTCTGTCCTCTAGGGGCGCTGTGAGTCAGAATCGACTCCACGGCAGTGGGTGTGGTTTGGGCTTTGCTTCTGTGAAGACTGACAGCCTTGGAAACCTGTGGGCAGTTCCACTCTGTCCTCTAGGGGCGCTGTGAGTCAGAATAGACTCCAGGCGGTGGGTGTGGTTTGGGCTTTGCTTCTGTGAAGACTGACAGCCTTGGAAACCTTGTGGGGCAGTTCCACTCTGTCCTCTAGGGGCGCTGTGGGTCAGAATCGACTCCAGGCAGTGGGTGTGGTTTGGGCTTTGCTTCCATGAAGATTGACAGCCTTGGAGACCCTGTGGTGCAGTTCCACTCTGTCCTCTAGGGGCACTGTGAGTCAGAATCCCCTCTAGGCAGAGGGTTTGGTTTGGGCTTTGCTTTTGTGAAGATAGGAGCTCTGGTGGCACAGTGCCTAAGGCACTTGACTGCTAACTAGAAGGCTGGCGGTTCAAACCCACCAGCCACTCCTCAGAAAGAAGGTTGGGCAATCTACTTCCGTAGTGATACCGCCTCGAAAAACCAAGGAGGGGTCACTATGAGTCGGAATTGACTCGATAGCAGTGTTATCTGCGTGTAATTAGAGAGAGAGAGACAGAGCCCTGATGGTGCAATGGTTAAGTGCTCAGCTGTTAACAGGAAAGTTGATGGTTTGAACAAGGGCTCTGCAGAAGACAAGACCTGTAATCTATTTGTGTAAAGATGACAGCCTTGGAAATGCAAGGGGGCAGTTGTACACTGTCACATGCGGTCACTGGGAGTTGGAATCGACTCTGATGGCAGTGGGTTTGGTTTGGGTTTTCGTGTCTCTCTCTCCTCAGCCCCTGGTGACCACCAACCTCCTTTCTGTCTCAAAAGCAGAGGACTTTAAACTTGGTTGGTTTACTACTGTGACATTCCCAACAGACAACACTTCCCCTTACTGCCCCACCTGCCTTTGGTACATCCTGGTTCCCGGCAGACTCTCCAAACCTTTTCGTCCAACTTCACGGCACAATGCCGCATAAGTGGTGGACAGGGGGCACTGGGCCGATTGAAGCCCTCAGCCAAGAATGCTGACAGCACCAGGCTGGGCTGGACAGCTTCTTACACATCACATGGGCCAGGGCAGAGGGCATCACCATTCACTGCATCAGTGGGAAAAAAATTATCCCTCATGCTGATAGACAAATGTCCTCAGAGCTGATGGTTGCAACAAAACTCTTGAGCTCTGTAGGGTGGGACTTCTAAGGTGTTTCAAAGGCTATCAGATGAAGCAGTGCAGTGGTGGATCAGTGGTAGAATTTATGCCTTCCATGCAGGAGACCTGGGTTCAGTTCCCAGCGAAGGCGCCTCATGTGCAGCCCCCACCCATCTGTTGCTAGGATGCTGAACAGTCCTTTGGACTAATTGTTTCCATGAATCTTTGATTTTCTTCATTCTTTGCTGTGGATGAGGAAAGACCCATTGCTGCATCCAGATGGCCCCTTGGAAGCTTTTAAGATCCCAGGCGCTACTCGCCAAAGTAGGAGGTGGAACAGTGTTTCGTGTAGTGTGTGATACCAATTGAGCTTGATGTCCCCTGGGACTATGGTCCTGAGCCCACAGGTCCAACTACTCGCTCCCTCTGGGTAGCTGGCTGTGGACAGGAAGCCGTCACAACCTTGCCCCTTGTCAGCTCTGCTATATACCCGGACACTCTTAACAGTGGAGTCTTGTGTGTTGCTGTCCGCTGAAGAAATTTCAGCAGAATTTCTAGGAGGAAGGGCCTGGCCATCACCTTGTGCCCCAGGAATCCCAGCAGTCGTGGGAATAGGTGGCGTTCTGTTCTTCTCTACTTGGGGTCACCGTGAGCCAAGGGCCACTTACAGCACCTGTGGGCTACAAGACAGAGCACTTTACAAACCGTGGCGCCCCACAAAGGCAAGACGACCTTGCCTGTTTATTATGTCAACGCTGATACTCTAACCGTGGATGTTAGCGTCACTTAGGTAAAGTCCTTTTGGTGGGGCAGTGGTTAAAGCATTTGGCTGCTGACCAGAGGGTCAGCGTTCAAACCCACCAGCCATCCACAGAAGGAAGATGGAGCAATTTACTTCCATAAAAATTTACAGCCTCAGAAAGCCAATAAGAAAAAAAACAACTCACCATCTCTGAGTGGATTCCAACTCATAGCAACCCCTCCTTGGGTTTCCGAGGCAGTATCTCTACGGAAGTAGATTGTCCAGTCTTCCTACCGAAGAGTGGCTGGTGGGTTTGAACCGCCAGCCTTCTGGTTAGCAGTCAAATGCCTTAGGCACTACGCCACCAGAGCTCCCAATGGGGGTCGCTATAAGTCAGAATCAACTTGATGGCAGTGAGTCTGGTTTTTATTTTTATTTTTTAACCAGTGTTTTTAAAAGCCGGTCGCTCTTCCTGCAGCCTTCAGCACGGCGAGATGTGAGAAGCTGCACAAGGAGAAAGGGGAGCTGGAAAAGCGGTTCGCCGACGAGGTACGGCGCCTGCGCAGGCAGCAGCGGGCCGAGCTACAGGCCCTGGAGGACCGGCTGCAGCTGCGGTTCCAGGCGGAGGGGGCGCGCCTGCAGGGGGAGCACGAGGCCCAGCTGCTGCGGCTCAGGTGCCAGCATGAGGAGCAGGTGAGTCTGCGGGCTGCGCGGCCTTGCTGCGGGGCAACGCAGGGGGGCGGGGCCACCTGGACCGGAAGCCCTGGCTCCGTAGGCGTGTGTCCTTTCTCAGCCTTCTCCTGTCTCGCCTCCAGCCGTTCCCCCTCACTGGTCCTAGCCAGGGCGGGGAATGCTCTCACTCTCACTTCATGGCTCCCTCTCTCCCTCCAATACTTTTTCATCCCTCCAACACTTTAAGGAGCGCTGGTGGTGTGGTGCCTAAGGCATCTGACGCTAACCAGAAGGCTGGCGGTTCAAACCCACCAGCCACTCCTCAGAAGGCAGGTTGGGCGATCTACTTCCGTAGTGATACCGCCTTGCAAACCCCAGGAGGGGTCGCCGTGAGTCAAATAGACTCACCCGCAGTGAGTTTTTTGGTGGTGGCACAGTGGTTAAGTGCTCCGCTGCTAACCAGAAGGCCTGTGGTTTAGACCTACCCAGTGGCTCCAAAGTGACAGGCCTGGCCGTCCACTCCCATAAAGATGACAACCTAGGAAGCCCTGTGGGAAGGTCCTGTTCTGTCACACGGGTCACTGTGAGTTGAAATCATCTTGATGGCACAATAACAACGAGACACCTTCGCGTTTGTCTTACTCAGTGACTCGCCCTAAAGGAGCACGAGTTTCGAGATCCAACATGGCGGCCTTTGCCTGGAGGCACAGGTGCTGGGCCTTGGCAGTGGACGTTGGCTTTGTCTCCTATCCAGGCCACGCTTGACCCCCTTCCCTAAAGAACTCCTCCCCTGGATTGAATGGCAGGAGCAGTGTGGACAGAGGCCACCTCTCCATCACCCGGCAGCACACACGTGGTGGGCTCGCCGCCGCCATGCCCCAGAGCGCTCACTCCCCTAATCACGTAGAACAGCCCCTGCACGGCCCTCAGGCTCCCGGCACCGGAGCCCCTCCCACCCCCAGTCACAGGGGGTCTGTGGAGATGGACGGCTCTCTGAACAGCTGTCTCCTCAGCCAGTCGCAGCTGCCGTCAAGTCGACTCTCACTCACAGCGCCCCCACGTGGTCAGAGTAGAACCGGGCTCCATTGGTTTCCAAGGGCTGATTTTTCAGAAGTCTTCAGGCTTTTATTCCTAGGTGCGTGTGGGTGGGCTCGAACCCGCAACCTTTTGGTTAGTAGCCAAGTGTGCTAACCATTTGCACCACCCAGGTGGGCTGCAGACGGGTCGGGGAGGGCATCCAAAGTGGGATGAAATGAGGCCAGAAGCATGACCAGCCTCCTGCTCTGGGTCAGTATGGGGGATATTACAGAAGCAGCAGAAGGGAGTGAGTCCCCTCCTTGTGTAGAAGGGGAGGCAGGAAGAAAGCCCAGAGGAGAGGGAGGTGGGTGGCCTCCCTCAGTGTCATCAGATAGGCTGATGGGTCCAGGATGCAGTCAATGGGAGTTCAATCAGATTTGGGGGTAATGAGAAAGCCAAGACATTTGTAAGCGCTTCCTTCGTGCTTCTGAATGTAAATCTTCCCTAAGTGAATTACCAGAGCCCCAGATAATTGCATTTTGCAAATGGCCCCATGAAGAACCCCCTGCAGCTGTGTTCTTACTCACTGCAGAGTATGGCTGTCCAGCCCTCCTGGCCCGGAGAGCGCAGCCCGGCTGAGCGGAAAACAGCTGCAGCAATGGAGGCATTTCAGAGGGAACAGCTGCTTCCCCAGAGGACTGGGACAGCTGCACATGGTGTGCAGACAGGCCTCTCTCCCTCACACAGTCCAGGACCCTGTCTTCACAGAGGAGCAGTAGAGGAGGAGGCAGCAGACGCCCCACCCAGAGTTCTGGATGCTTTGCCCTGCGTAACTTTGCCATCAGCTGGCTTACAGCTCCTTGTCTCTGCTTTGGGGACCTATGAGACATCAAATGCCCTCTTGTTCCTCTTGGGTCACCTTGTCTAAACCCCCTCACATGCCACCGGAGTATTCCAAGGTCCCCCAGGCTGAGTTTCTCTTGTTGTTGGTACCACTGAGGTAATTGCAACTCACAGCGCCCCTAGAGGACAGAGTGGAACTGCCCCAGAGGGCTTCCAAGGCTGTAAATCTTTACGAAAGCAAAGCCCAAACCACACCCACTGCCGTGGAGTTGATTCTGACTCACAGCGCCCCTAGAGGACAGAGTAGGAACTGCCCCAGGGTTTCCTGGGCTGGAATCTTTATGGGACCAGATCATCTTGACTATCTTCCATGGATCTGCTGGGTGTTTGAACCACCAACCTTTTGGGTAGCAGCTGAGCACTCAAGAGTTGCATGACCAGGGCTCCAAATGAGACTGTACCCTTTAAACACAAATTCCCCTGGATCCACTTAATGAGTGTGCGTGCTCTCAGTGTCCTGTAGGCACTCTTCCTCTTTCCAGGTCAAAGGTCAGCCTGGAGTTGCACACAGCCCCATGGGAACTGTTCCCAGAGACATGAGGCGTTCTGGGGAGGAGGGGCTGAGCAGGGACTGACTGTCAGCAGCTGGAAGCAATAGGTTCCTAACTGGTCCATCAGAGACTCCCAGGTCCTGGGCACATTTTCTGGGTCAGTTTTCTGGTTTCCAGAATTGCAGATTTTCACCCATTGGTAGGTCAGGAAACCAGTGTAGTGCCTTGTCCCCAGCACTTTGTGGAACAAAGCAAAATTGAATTAGAAATTGCCTATCAGACCATTGCAAGTAGGAACAGAATGTGTTGTTTGGTGAAATCTTGGTTTGGTGGGGTAGCGTTTGCATGTGTGTGTTTATAAGTGTGTATTTGTATGTATGCTTGTGTGTCTGCATGTGTGTTGACATGTATTTTTGTGTGTCTGCATAAGTTTCTGTGTGTATTTGTGTTTGCATGTATGTGCTGACATGGATTTGTATGTATGCGTGTTTGCATGTTTGCGTGTATACATGTCTGCATGTGTGTGTTTACATATATGTTTGGGTGTGTTGACATATGTGCATTTTCATGTTTGTATAAGTGTGTGCATGTGTGTGTTTGCGTGTGGACGTGTGCGCTTGTATGTGTGTTTGCATGTTTGTTTTTGTGCACGTGTTTGCAAGTTCATGTGTATCTTTGTGTATATTTGCATGTATTGTGTGTTTGTGTGTGTACCTGTGTGTTTCTGTGTTTCTGCTTACATGTGTGTGCTGACATGTGCATTTGTGTGTGTTTGTATGCACACATGTGCTGACATGTACACTTATATGTGTTTATATGTTTGTTTTTCTTTGTGCTTGTGTGTTTGCATGTTCATGTGTATCTTTGTGTATGTTTGCATGCATGTGTGCATTTGCATGTTTGTGTATATACCTGTGTGTTTGCATGTGTGTGTGTTTGCATGTCTGTGCTAACATGTGCATTTGTGTATTTGCATGTTTGTGACTCATAGTGTATACCTGTGTGTTTACATGTTCATGCGTATCTTTGTGTATATTTGCATGTATTGTGTGTGTGTATACCTGTGCGTTTGTGCTTACATGTGTGTGCTGATGTGCACGTGTGTGTTTGCATGTGCACATGTGCTGACACGTGCACTTGCATGTGTGTTTGCATGTTTTTCTTTGTGCATGTGTTTGTATGTTAGTGTGTATCTTTGTGTATGTTTGCATGTGTGTGTGCATTTGCATATTTGTGTATGTACCTGTGTGTTTGCATGTGTGTGTGTTTGCATGTATTGCTAACTTGTGCATTTGTGTGTGTATTTGCATGTTTGTGACTCATAGTGTATACCTGTGTGTTTGCATGTTCATGTGCATCTTTGTGTATACTTGCATGTATGTGTGTTCTTGTGTGTGTACCTGTGTGTTTGTGTGTGCTTACATGTGTGTGCTGACATGTGCATTTGTGTGTGTTTGCATGTTTGTGACTCATAGTGTGTACCTGTGTGTTGTGTATGCGTGCTGACATGTGCATTTGTGTGTGTGGTTTGCATGTTTGTGACTCATAGTGTGTACCTGTGTGTGTGTGTGTTTGCGTGTATCTTTGTGTGTGCTTGCGTGTGTGTGCATGCTGTGTCACAGTGTAAGTTGGTATTTTTCACCGTGGGTTCCTGCCGAAAAAGCTGGCTCACTGCGGGTGTGTCCAGGAGAGGTTACCACCACAGGGGGTGGTCATTTTACAGGCTTGCTCCTCTAGGGCTTAGTCATACAATTAGAACTTCAAGGAAACCATCGCCACAAGCTCACAACAGGAAACATGGTGGGCAGTTGGGGTGGAAGTGGGGAGAGATCAGGAAATGTAAACAGTGAATGTCGTGGGCAGTCTGCACCACTCCATCCGTCCTGGGGCACGATGGGGGCAGGCCTGGCATACAAGTGGCCATCAAGGGACATGGCTCCATTTCAGAGGGGTCAGGCACCACCCCAGAACCATGGTGACTTAGAGGGCAGCCCCTCTCTGGATATGCCCCAACCCTGCATGACAGGGCGGTCCAGTTAGAACCTGGAGGGAAGGCTGATGTGTGGGGAGCCTGTGGACACATGGTCTGCCAGCCTCACCTTGGGACTGGGGAGAGGTCCCAGGTGTGGAGGAGGCAGCAGTGGTAGGTTTGAAGGGGCTTCCCCTTTGCAGTCACACACATGTGAGATTGGTCCCCCGCTCTACTGTGTACTAACCCTTGGGCAGAACATTTCAAGCCTCTCAAAGCCCCAGTTTCCTCCTCTGTAAAATGGAGATGAAAACATCTATTTCACACGGTTGATCCAAGGGTTAAGGGGAGCTCCGTGGACTTTGGGTCCCATCCCACCACCCGTTGTCAGCATGTTGTACTGTGGTAGCTTGCGTGCTGCTGTTATGCTGGGAGCCCTGCCACCAGGATCCCAAATACCATCAGGGCTACCCGTGGTGCATAAGTTTCAGCAGAGCTGAAGAAAGACCTGGCTGTCCGCTTCTGAAAACCAGCCACTGAAATTCTGTGGATCACAACACTGTCTGAGATGGAGCTAGAACATGAACCCCTGTAAAGTGGAAGGCACTCTGTCATTGATCGAACTGTGTCCCCCCCTCCCCCCGCCGCCAAATTTGTGTCAACTGGGCTGGGCCATGTTTCTCGGTGGTTTAGCAGTTGTGGAATGACATCATGTGGCTGATGTAATGATTCTCCATGATGCCATGTGATGTGATCAGCCAATCAGGGGTAGGAGGATGCGATGCAGGGAATGACTGTGTCTGGCTTGTCTAATCATAGTCTTTGTAACTCCCAGCGGATGACTGGGTGGGGCCATGCAAATAAGGTGTGGAGAACTCTGATGGGATTGGTTAGTTTGGTCACTCTGCCAGGCTTAAAAGGAGCCTTCCTAGAGGCAGAGGGCGGATCTCACTGCCATCAAGAGAGAAGAGCTGGAGTGGAGTGGAGCAGGTCCTTGGGCCTGAGAGCCCCGCGCTGGACCTCCTTGGCAGAGATGCCCTGGCAGAGAGACACCCCGGCAGAGGGGGGGAACAGTGGAACCAAGAGGCATGAGACAGAGTGGCAGGCTTGCCAGCCCAGGGAGTGGAAAAGCTGACTGCCCTCAGGCAGCAGGTTTGCTGGAGGAGTGGGGTGCCCCTAGGCGTACCTGCCGGCAGAGCTAAAAGAGCGTTGTAACATTTGCCCGAGCAGGGCAGAGGCCAGGCCGAGAGGCCAAGGGCCAGAGAGGCGTGTCTGACAGCACAACAGGGGGGAGACTGTCCTGATCCAAGAACTGCTTCCTGAGTGTGTTCGGAACTTGAATGGTAGCCTGTTACTTCCCTAATAACGCCATCATCGAGAGTACTGTCTGAGTTCTGTGTAGCCCTTGCAACGAATTCTCGAACCCAGCAGAGAGGCAGTGAGTGCCATGGGAGGGATGGCTGGTGTCAGAATTAGTAAGTGGCTGGAGGGTGGCGGCTGTTTGGCCTCGTAGGAATCAGCCTTGGGCTGCTGATGGTGACTCTGTCTTTCTCTTGTGAAGTTAGAGGTGGTGAGAAGATGCCGCCCCCCTGGCCTTTTAGCAAACGATTAAGATGAAGGGCAGGCTATAGCACCCTTAGTCCCATCACAGCCCTGATCCGATGTAGGGGAGCTTCACTGGGGTGCAGCCTGCAACACCTTTTCTCTTACAAGAGATCAAAGGAGCGAGAAGGGAGCAGAGAGGGTGGACCTACACCACCAAGAAAGAGGAGACAGGAGCAGAGTGAGACCTTTGGACCCAGGGTCCCTGCACTGGGACCCTCCTGGGAACAGGGGACGCTGAGAAAGTCTTCCCTTACAACCAGCCCTCTGAACTTGGACTTCTAGCCTCCCGGACCGTCAGAGAATAAACTTCTGTTTGTTCAAGCCCCCACTTGTGGTGGTTCTGTGCTAGCGGCCTGAGAGAACTCAGACGCCCTCCGAATACACAGTGATGGCCGCGGTGGGCTCAAGCAGACCTGTGGTGGTGAAGCTGGTGCAAGGCTGGGCAGCGTGAGGTGCTGTTGTGCACGGGGCCACCATGAGTCACGGTCCACTTGGGCAACTAACACCAACACAGCTCGGTTTCTCATCTGCCTCTGGGAAGCAGTGAACGGCCCACAGGCAGCCCTTTTCCTTCACCATCATTAGCTCAGGTAAAGTCGAGCAGTGGGGAGAGATGGCAGTGGGAAGGCATGGTCCAGAAGCCAGGCCCTGGCTCTCAAGGGTGGCTTGGGCAGCCAGCAGCACCCACTCGGGGTTGCCTTTCCTGTGGCCAACAGCCAGGATCAGCAGGGACCTTCCACCCCACCACCACAACCACCAGAGCCGGGCTCTCCTGCCTCAGCACCAGGCTGGGGACAGCTGCCGTCTCTGCAGAACGACTGCTGGCCACTTTGGTCCGCCGCCCCGTCCACTCACAGCGTCTCACTCCTCCTCACAGCTGGGATGTTGCTGACATCCACGCCCCGGCTCTCTGTGTGACCGGAAGTGGCGACTCTCTTTCAGGTGGAAGATATGACCGCCAGCCATGAGGCTGCTCTTCTCGACATGGAGAACAGCCACACGATCGCCATCACCATCCTACAGGACGACCATGACCACAAAGTCCAAGGTAAGCCCCAGGCCTGACCCGGGCAGCCAGCAGGGCAGGCTGTGCACCCCGAGCCCACAGCCACGTCCCGAGCCCTGGCCTCCCCTCCTCTCGTTCCCTTTCTCCCTTTCTGTCCTTCCCTAGGACGCTCTGGTGGCCTAGTGCCTAAGGCACTTGACTGCTAACCAAAAGGCTGGCGGTTCAAATCCACCAGCCACTCCTCGGAAGGAAGATGGGGCAATCTACTTCCGTAGTGATACTGCCTCGGAAACCCAAGGAGGGGGCGCTATGAGTCGGGGCCAACTGGCCAGCAGTGTGTTTGCTTGGTTTGGTTTTAGTCCTTCCCTGGTCCCCTTGTGTGATGGTTATGTTTGTATGTCAACTTAGCTGGGCCTGGTTGACTGGCTGGGCAGCTGGTAGTAGTTATTCTCCATGATGAGACTGGTAATCAACTCTATGGTGGAATCTACTGGGAGCGGCTGAGTAGCTGCCTTTGGGATGTGGTCTGCTTTCCATTATATAAGGAGAAGCCTTGGGAATGGTCTCTAGCCTGTGGCACGCTTGGACCCTGCATGGAGCTGTGTCATTGCTCAGCAGCCTGCCAAGCTCTGCCAACCTTGGGTCTTACAATGGACTTAAGTTAATGGCCTGCCGTGTGGTTTGGTAACATCGGGACTGTGCCTTGTTACTTGTCAGCCTTGGGGCTTCTCGGCCTCAGCAGCCAGCAGCTGTCTGAGTGAAGAAACGCCTCTAGCTTCAGTGGGCCGGGAGCAGGAGGCAGAGCTGGACCCCAAGGTTGAGGGGCTTTCCCCCAGCCCCTAGAGCCTGGCACTTTGAACTTGGACTTAAAGCCTCCAAATTGTAAGAATAAACTCCTGTTTGTTAAGGCTGTCCCATTTGGGGTATATTCCTTTCAGAGTGGAACCAGGGAACCAGGACACCTTGTCTTGGTCTGTGGAGAGAAGAGAGAGAAATCAATGATCTGGAGACCCTCTTCCCTCCAAGCAGTCATCCCCAGCCTTGCCTGGTCATTAGACTCCCCTGGGAAGCTTGGAAGAGATACCGAGGCCCCCCGGCCCCCTTTCTCTCCCTCCCATCCCCAGGGGTTCTGATTCAGTTGGTCTGGGGCCCCTTAGATGATTCTAAATGGGCACCCAAACTTGAGAACCACTGCCCTAAAGTAGGCGCCCAATGGACGTCTGGGGCTTTATCTTGTTTTGTGGACCTTTTTTTTTTAATTGTAATTTGGGGAAACGTTTACAGAGCAAATTCACTTTCCATACAGCAGTTCACATACACTTTGTCTCATGACATTGACTACAATTTACCACAATGCAACAGCTCCCCTCCCACTTCCTCCCCACAGTTACCTCTTCCCAGTGTCCATCCCTCCATGCACTCCTGCCCCCTGAGCTGTCTCCCTGTGCATAAGCAGCCCTTCTATTCTCCCATGATTGTTCTCTCCAAGGAGTGTATCTACCTCAGGTAAATGTTCAGCTCATAGACCTGTCTTTTGTTTGCCTGGAAGCCACAGGAGTGGGTTCAATTCCAGACCTGAAGGGCAGCTAGGGGCCATAGTCTCAGGGGTTCCACCAGGTTCTATCAGACCAGCCAACCTCGTCTCCTTTTTTATTTTTTCCAAATGATTTTGAGTTTTGTTCTACATTGTTCCCCCTCTTTATCCAGGATTTCCTCCATAGATATCTCTCCAAGTGGTTGACAATGGTAGCCGGGCACCGTCTAGTTCTTCTGGTCTTGTAGTCATATAGGCTGAGGATCACATGGTGTACCAGTTACTTGGACTAATTGTTTCCATGCATGTTTGGTTTTCTTTATTCTTCTTTGCTCTGGGTGAGGAAAGACCCATTGTTCCATCTAGATGGCCGATTGCAAACTTTTAAGATCTGTCTCCACTGATCAAAGTAGGATGTTTTTGTGTAGTATGTTATGCCAATTGAGCTTGATGTCCCCTGCGACCATGGTCCCGAACCCACTGGTCCAACTAGTCACTCCCTTAGTGTAGTTGGCTGTGGCCAAGAAGTTATCATAATTTTGCCTATTATTAGCTCTATTATAGAAACAATGAATTTTAAAAATAGATGAAGAACCTTTAAACATTTGGGAAAAGACATAGAGCTTTTCTTATATTTAAAATGATGCTTGTAAATAACAAAAACCTGCTGGACAGTCACGTTACTCCCTCCCTCAAGCACCAGCCCCACCACCTCTGAGAACTGTTGTTGTTGTTTTACTGTCAGGTTGTTTTTGACTCAGAGCAACCCCATATGACAGGGTGGAACTGCCCCAGAGGGTCTCCAAGGCTGTCAGTCTTTACAGAAGCAAAGCCCAAACCACACCCACTGCCATGGAGTCCATTCTGACTCACAGTGCCCCTAGAGGACAGAGTGGAACTGCCCCAGAGGGTTTCCAAGGCTGTCAGTCTTCACAGAAGCAAAGCCCAAACCACACCCACTGCCATGGAGTCCATTCTGACTCACAGCACCCCTAGAGGACAGAGTGGAACTGCCCCAGAGGGTTTCCAAGGCTGTCAATCTTCACAGAAGCAAAGCCCAAACCACACCCACTGCTGTGGAGTCAGTTCTGATTCTCAGCGCCCCTAGAGGACAGAGTGGAACTGCTCCAGGGGGCTTCCAAGGTTGTAAATCTTTAGGGAAGCAAAGCCCAAACCACACCCACTGCTGTGGAGTTGATTCTGACTCACAGCGCCCCTAGCGGACAGAGTGGAACCACACCAAGGCTGTCATCTTTACCGAAAAAAAAGAAAACTCACTGCCATCAAGTCAGATCTGACTTATAGCAACCTCTCCTTGGGTTTCCGAGGCAGTGTCACTACAGAAGTAGATTGCCCAATCTTTCTTCCTAGGAGTGACTGGTGGGTTTGAACCACCAGCTTTCTGGTTAGCAGTCAAATGCCTTAGGCACTAGCAAAGCCCAAACCAAACCCATTGCCGTGGAGTCGATTCTGACTCACAGCGCCCCTAGAGGACAGAGTGGAACTGCACCACATGGTTTCCAAGACTGTCAATCTTTACAGGAGTAGACTGCCACATCTTTCTCCTATGGAGCAGCTGGTGGGTTCCAACCGCTAACCTTTTGGTTAGTGGCCCAATGCTTTAACCACAGTGCCATCAGAGCTCCATAGGTGAAGCTGGTGGTTCTCAAATTGTGCTGTCCATCAGAATCACATCGGGAGTTAAAAAAGCCCAAGGCGAGGGTTGCACTCTCAACAACTGTGTGAGGTGTGATCCACACATCCGCAGCTCTGCAAACTCCCCAGGGGATTCCGGGGTGCAGTCAGTCTGAGCACAGGTTCTCTGCACGAAAGACACATGATCCAGACCCAAGTAATGCATTGAAGTTGCTCCCAGGGAGCCACCCTTTCCTCCGGCTCAGACTTCTTCACATACTGATAGTTCTCAGAAGGAGACCTGGGGGCGCAGCCATTCAGCGCTTAGCTGGTAACCGAAAAGCCGGCAGTTCAAAGCCACCCAGTGGCTCTGTGTGAGAAAGACCTGGTGGTATGCTTCCATAAAGACAGCCTAGAAAACCTTATGGTGCAGTTCCACTCTGTCCTCTAGGGGCGCTGTGAGTGAGAATTGACTCCACGGCAGTGGGTGTGGTTTGGGCTTTGCTTCTGTGAAGATTGACAGCCTTGGAAACCCTGTGGGGCAGTTCCACTCTGTCCTCTAGGGGCGCTGTGAGTGAGAATCGACTCCACGGCAGTGGGTGTGGTTTGGGCTTTGCTTCTGTGAAGATTGACAGCCTTGGAAACCCTGTGGGGCAGTTCCACTCTGTCCTGTAGGGGCGCTGTGAGTCAGAATCAACTCCATGGCAGTGGGTGTGGTTTGGGCTTTGCTTCTGTGAAGATTGACAGCCTTGGAAACCCTCTGGGGAGGTCCACTCTGTCTCTGTGAGTTTGGTTTTGGTTTGGTCTTCAAGTATGCCATTAAGCATGGGCCAGGGTGTAATTAATCCAAAATAAAGAAACACATGACAGGGACACAGATAGTAACTAGCTTACACCATCTCCAAACAAGGTGTTGACTTTTCCTTTCCCTCGGGTGGCTGGGGTCATTTGGAAGTGCCCCTGTAGCCCATCACTGCGCCGGAGGAAGTGGTTTCAGGGACAGGAATGTGAACAGAAATGGTAGAAGGAGAGGTGATTTATCTCTGTTCCTGGATTTTCATGTAGATAGACTGGGTAGATTTTTCCAAAGAATCTCGGTCTACACATACACCACAGTCCCAGGCCTTTGAATATATAATGTCAAGACAAGTGGGCGTATGTCATGGTAGCCTAGAAACTGTATTATTATGCATAGGATGATGCTCTCAGTGACTCTGAAAACTGAACAGGTGGGCTGAGGCAGGTGGACCAGAAGGCCGCATTGTTTTATGCCAGGGCAGTTAGGCTGGATTTTTGTCCTAATATTAATTTAAGCATTTCCAACTGGATTCCTCAGAGACCCCACCACCATCTCGTGGAAGATCTGAGTCACTGTAAACCCAGAGTTTGTCCTGATGGCAGCCAGCCTGTGGGATGGTCATCATTGTTCTCCTGCACTCCGCTGTCCTAAGCGTATGATCCCGGCTGAGAGCTTTCCTCCCTCCAGTTATAGTGGGGATAAAAAAGGCTTGTGTCCCCAGAAATAGACGGGCTTCGCCTGGCTAATAAGACGACTCTTCCCATCTGGCAGGAAAGAGACGCTGTGCTTAATGACATTCAAGTCACAGCTCTTTCTGCCTAACTTGCAGGTTATTGCCTGGTAACACTCTTAATAGAACTGAATTGTCATGAACTCCCCAGCAGGAAGCAGCCATCAAATCCTTCTTTTTAGGGTCGCTATGCATCGGAATTGACTCAATAGCAGTGGGTTTTCTGTCTGAGTGTCTTCACACCCAGTCCGTGCTCCAACATGCCCTGGAGGGTGGTCACCAGACCACCAGGTGCGCTAAAAACACCCCACTGGCCTCCCACCTGGGACTTTCTGCAGCTGGCCAGGCTGGCTGGTGGGCAGGAGGGCTGCTTGCAGGCCCGTCTCCTCAGAAAGCGCCCTCCCTCGGCCCCGCCCACCCTCGGCCCCGCCCGCCCTTAACCAGACGCCTATGATGGCAAGTCCCAGGAATGCCACCGACTGGGTCAGGCTGGGGGTGGAGTAGGGATGTGTGTGAGTGTGTGTATATGGTGTGTGTGTGCAAGTGCAGGGGTATGTGTGTGAGAGAATATGTATGTGTGTGTACATACCTGTGTGAACATGTGTGTTGGTGTGTGTGAATGTGTGCATTGGTGAGTTTGTGTAACAGTATGTGTGTTGGTGAGTGTGAGTGTTATATATGTGTGGTGAGTGTGAGTGTTGTATATGTGTGTGTGCATGTCTGCAAGAGAATGTGTATGTGAGTGTGAGTATTGTGTGTATGCATGTGCGTGTGTGTACATGTGTGAGAATGTACAGGTTTGTATGTATATGTATAAATGCAAGTGTATGTGTGTAAAAGACTGAGAGACAATGTCTATGAGTGTTGCAAGTGTGTGTATGTACGCATGTGAATGTACATGTGTAAGTGCAAGTGTGTATGTGTGAGAACATGTGAAAGACAGTGTATATGTGTGTATGTATGAGTGTGTTTACGTGTGTGAGAATGTATATGGGATGCATATGTGTAAGTGCAAGTTTGTGAGAATATATGTGTGAGTGTATGTGCCTATGTGTGTGAATGTGTGTGCTGGTGAGTATGTGTGAGAGTGTGTGTGTCAGTGAGTGAGTGTGAGTGTTGTGTATGTGAGTGTATGTCTGATTCCGCGTTGAGTGTACTGAGTGTGCAGCTGTGCACACATGTGCGTGTGTGTGGTCATCCGTGTTCTGTACTCTTTTGACATGCTTTCACCCCTCTTCTCCACTCTCTCCCCCTCTGCCCGTGCCCTTCCTCTTTTTGTCTCTTCCATATCAGCCTGGTCATCACTAACGTTTCGGAATAATGGGGGGTCTCCTAGGCTGAGAGCTGCTGGGTATGGTAGTCACTTATTTACCAAACATCACTAGGCTTAGGTGGCAAGGCAGTCCTGTTTTAGCCTTTTCAAAAGAAAGACCAACTGAATCACTTGCTCTCTCCTTTGCAGAATTGATGTCCAGCCACGAGCTTGAAAAGAAAGAATTGGAAGAAAATTTTGAGAAACTACGGCTGTCATTACAGGTTACTAGTTCCTTAATCTGTTATCAAATAGCAGCGGCAGCAGGATCCCACCTACGAGCATTTACCCAGCACCTACTGTGTACAGGGTCCTGTATTAAGCACAGCACACCGGGAAATGGGTAAGACATACACCCTGCCCTGAAGGAGTTGGCTGTCTACTCAAGTGTGACGCAAATACAAGGAGCCAGCCACAAGGTAACACACTTGTACCAAATGAATGAAACAGGGGGCCTAGAGGAGTTCAGAGGAGCCCTAGTGGTGCAGTGATGAAGTGCTCATCTGCTCAAGTTTGGTGGTCTGAACCCACAGTTGCTCCACAGAAGAAAGATGTAGCAGTCAGCTTCTGTAAAGATGGCAGCCTTGGAAACCCTGTGGTGCAGTTCCACTCTGTCCTCTAGGGGCGCTGTGAGTCAGAATCGACTCCACGGCAGTGGGTGTGGTTTGGGCTTTGCTTCTGTGAAGATTGACAGCCTTGGAAACCCTGTGGTGCAGTTCCACTCTGTCCTCTA